AATACACAAAATAATGTTTTTTTTTAGCAACATCATATGACCCCTTTAAATACTTCAGTCTGGTACACTTAGACTAGAGACCGTTATAAAGCCGTTACATTTTTCTAAAATCAATCAATCTAAAAAAAAAAAAGTATTTTATTTCTTTTAATTCCATGTCAATGAAAAGGGCTGTTGTTCTTCAGGGCCTTCCACATTACCTCAGTGAAGATCCATCAGATTTCAAGTCTGCAGAGGTAGACTTGCATGTTAATACCTTTGCTTAAAATGACAAAATAATGTTTTTTTTAGCAACATCATATGACCCCTTTAAATACTTCAGTCTGGTACACTTAGACTAGAGACCGTTATAAAGCCGTTACATTTTTCTAAAATCAATCAATCTAAAAAAAAAAAAGTATTTTATTTCTTTTAATTCCATGTCAATGAAAAGGGCTGTTGTTCTTCAGGGCCTTCCACATTACCTCAGTGAAGATCCATCAGATTTCAAGTCTGCAGAGGTAGACTTGCATGTTAATACCTTTGCTTAAAACAATGGTCTGTATATGTCTAATCATGACCCTTTCTGTAAAATCTAGGATAGTCTAATTATAATCTAATTATATCTAATTAGATTATAATTAATCTAATTATGAGATAACGAATGCCAAAGTTAGATTTTTTTCTGTTAATTTCACTGTGATTTCAGTCTTTTGATATGGCCTTGGTCAGTATTAAAGATATCAAGGTAATATTTTCATAGAATCTTCTTTACATTATGTTGGATGATTTTTAAAGGTCCCATATTGTCAAAACTGAAATATCCTGGCTTTTTTCATGATAACTGAGGTCTAGGTGCTATGTAACTACCATATAAGTTTCAAAACAGTCAGTCCACAGTAAAATGCACACAGCCTGCTTAAAGTAGCTGTGATTTTTCACGAACCGTTGTGACTTCCGTAAAAAGTTGACATCAGAACTATACAGTCACCGCCTTCAGTCACCACCCCGAGCACCGCCCACCGTCCAACTCTCCTTTTGCCAAACCCCCAGACAACATCGCGGAAACATGTCGAAAAGGTTAACTGTAACCACAAAACCAGATCGGCCGACCTGTAACGTTACACTCTCACTCAAAGGATGGACGATCTGACAGGACTGTTACTATGAGGTGGATCACATCTAATGTGTATAGTAAAGACAAACTCACCGTGTCTATCTAGTCATGATGAAGATGCTAGACAAATGGCAAGAAATCTGTAGACGCGTCAACAACAAAAGACAATACTTTATTGAACCTTTTCTGATAAGAAGTGTGCCTGCAAACGACAGCATTTTTGACGATCGTTTCTGTCCAGTCTGCTCGTTTGCTTTCGTTTAACCACAGCTGTCGTCGTTTTTTTTGTCTGGCAGTGGCATCAGATATGCGATCAAATTTCTAATTAGAGGCTGTATTACGTAGATTCTGGCACCCAACATCACAAGATGATATTTTAAGCTCCTTGTGTAGCCGAATCTGCACTGGTTTGAATGGGTCGCCTCCAGTTTCCTCTTTGTTTTGCGGCCTCCAGCTAGCGCTGTGACGTCGGCTGACCCTAGTTACCTGTGGTTGGCCTGGCCGTGCGTCACTCAGAAAACAACAGGCCAATCAGAAGAGAGGCTCATGAATATTAATTAGACAGGCCAAAATCAACCTGTTCTCAGCAGAGCTCCTGAGAAAGGAGCTGTAAAAATATATTGAGATGGTTTTTGGTACTTATACCGCAAATATATATTCTTAAGGACATCAAAACCTAAAATTAAACTCCAGAAAGGTGTAAAATATGGGACCTTTAATGTAGAAAGCCGTAAATTACAAAAAAGACTTTAGCATTTTGCAAGCAGGGTCTCAGAATTAACTCCATACATAATTTTCTGCTAAAAATTGAGTTATACACTATTTCAATAAAATAACTGACATTCTGTGTAAATATTTTGATAATACAATTACTGTAGGAAACAGACATTGAAGACCGTGGGATGGCAGGAATTGATGTGGACAATTCTCATAATGCCTGATGGAGATGATGCCTTTGA